ACATGTATTTTAAAAATGATATTGTGTATTTAAAAAAGTGTTCAAAACATGTATTTTTTGAAAAACGTACATCATGTGTTTTGAAAAATGTCCAAAGTGTATCAAAAAAATGCTTCATGTGTACCTAAAATAAATATTATGTACCGAGAAAATGGTAGACATGAGTTCAAAAAACAAAACCGATATAAACCACAAAGAAGCCATGAAGAAAAGAAGAAACCAAGAAAAAAATTAATACAAAAATATAATGAAGAAAGAAAGAAAAACCTAAAAGAAACATTGAGAGAACAAAAAAAGCGAAAAATAAAATGAGGAAAAGGGGGAAAACAAAGAACTCTGAGGAAAAAAAACTAAAACCAACGAAAATGCAAGAAGATACTGAAACACAAAAACAAACAAAGAAAACTGGACTGATCGAAAATACAACAATCGCTAAAAGCGGGCAACGAATATCACGCTAAATGGGCTAGCCCGCTAGTGTTGGGTCTTACGCTTGGAGATATGACTCTTAATCCTAGAAAAGCCATAAAGATTTATTTGTTGTCATTCGCTTATTGTAACTTAAGCTGAATTAACTATGATTTGTTACCATGTTCCACTTCTTTGCCTCATTTTTACTCTAGCTATTACAACGGCTCAGTGATGCATTGTCGTGCGCATGTGACGGGTTTTTTTTTAAATAAACTAAAACTTTATTGATTAGAAATAACGGTTACATTGTCAATAAGAAGAGGTACAATATCATTCATAGGCTCCTCAAACCAATCCCTAGTGACTGAAAAATTTGCTAGCCTTGCAATTTCATGAGCTACTTTATTTCCTTCCTATTACAATGTTTAAATCTAATAAGAGGAAAGTCACAAGCCAAAAAATAACAGTCATCGAAAACTGCAACCGCCACTCCTACCGAGTGTCCTCCATTGTTCATTATATGAATCACTTCCATGTTATCCGAATTAACAACAAGGCGATTGCAACCTGCCTTCTGTGAAGGAATAAACCGAACTTTAGAGTCCATACTTCAGCTGCCAATACATCAGCACAACAATCAATCCTCCAGTTACCACCAACTATAAACCTTCCTTTGTCATCTCTAAGGACAACCCCCGCTCTACCCTGAAGCAGATCATGATCAAAAGAAGCATCAACATCCAGCTTCACAAAAACCCTCGGAGGGGTACTCCACCCCCCCTGTATTACTAGTTGCATTAGAGGAGTTGCACATGTGATAGTCTTTTCCTATATGATTCTCACCATCTATGCATGGATAGATTGTTTTCCTTTTTGTCACATCCTCTTCCTGATCCTTGCTCCTACCATGTATTTCACATCTGTTGTTGGTGTTGTGATTATGTACTGCTGCTTCGATGCAATGAAAGTGAAAGCTTATGTAGAAAAATATAATTTGGAACATGAGTTGGGATTACATCAGCAAAATATAGTTCCACCAACCATATTTCCATATCAATTTTTTATTTCACGAGAATTTTCAATTGAAGATTAGGTCATCAGTCACTCGAGTTGTTGTAATGAATTTGTTCGTGTGCTCTTATTATCTCTTTGACCCAGCAACTCATAGTTGATCTTGTCTGGGATGAGCAAATCGTCCGCCCCATATGTCCATATCAAGTGTGAGCTTGCTGAGCTCCTCAAGCTTATTGCACCCAATCTCCATGTTCTCAACAATATGATTCGCCAAGATGATTACCCACAACCATGCTTTTGGTCTTGGAGAAAGCCTCGTGGTTTATGGGTTAAATATAGAAATAAATTGCATGAAGTAAAGAAAATTGAAAAATTAGGTTTTGCTTCTAAGGTTAACTATAAAAGATCCCTAAAACCCACATTATCCCGAACTAACACCACATGATAAAAACCCACTCTCTCAGGTTCCACAAACTACACACTATCCATGTATATTTATGCAAAACAAAAACACATGTCCTAATATTTAGATTCAACTAGCCTCTTCCCCTATGAAATCCAAGCACTGGAAAATGTGACCCCCCCCCCTCCCCTCTGAAGCAACCTGTGGCCACTCATTCATTCCCCGATGGTAGTTGTCACGTGCTTCCACGGCCGCGCCGTCGCCGCCACGGATGCCGCCGACCACCGCGCACACCCTCCGCTCCTCTAGGCGATGACACGCCGCCTCTCGATTCGAACATTTAGGTGACCAACGGTTGCAAGTGTTGAGCAAAAAATCAATGGCATCGTGCACGCGTCTCCTTACCATACATCAAAGAGCTCCCTGCAATGGAAATGACATGCCCCTGCTAATTCTATGCTCGAGATTTGTTTTGACATCATGTAGTTGTGTACCTCTTATTGAAGAAAGGTAGAAAGCCAAAGGAACAAAAATTCTGTATATTACAACATTTACATATTCTGAGTTGTCACCTTAAAAAAACATACTATCTGAGTTGTTGGGCCCACGTAGTTTTTTTTTTCTCTCTCTCTCTATTCGGCCGTGAAGCCCAGAAATGGAAATGGAATGTCCTTGGGCACGGCGCGCCACCTACCATTTTGCCTTCGCTCCCCCCGAAATCTGAATCTCGGTCGACTCCGCCGCCGCTCCATGCCTCCCTCGCCGCCGCAGCTGCCGCCGCCGGCCATGGAGGAGGTCGAGGTGGAGGACGCCTCCAACGACGAGATGGTGGGGGGAGAGGCGCCGCCACTTGCCCCAGCCCCGGCCCCGGCCCCTGCCCCGCCTGCCGGCGAGGGCGCCGAGGCGAGCCGTGCCGCGTCGGGGTCGGGGGGGACGGAGGGCGGAGAAGGGGCCGACGAGGAGGACGAGGATGAGGACGAAGAAGACGACTCGGACGACGAAGAAGACGAGGATTCGGAGGACGAAGGGGACGAAGACGAAGACTCCGACGAGGAGGGGGAGGACGAAGGCCAAGACTCTGACGACGACGACGAAGACGAGGACGAGGACTCGGATGAGGAGGAGGACGACGAAGACGAGGAGGAGGAGGAGGAGGAGGACGACGAGTAGCATGGGATGGAAGTGGAGCCTGTGGCGTTCGCATCTGGTGAGCACAAATGTCCCTTGTGTTTTGCTCTGCTCTTGGTCTAGATAAGCTTAGATCAGCGCTCCCGAACTGACAATGAGCATGACGTGCTCGATCAATGTGCAAACCCCACTACTACTACATCCAGATCTTGCGGCCATGCCGTGCTGAATGTGGCATGCTCTTGGCCATTCGGGAGCGACTAGGATCAATTTTATCAGTAATAAAATGATCCTTTTGTGTAGATATAATATTATCTTCAGATTAGACAACACCTTTGGCAATTTTCTCCTTACATGTAACTAAAAAACATTGTAGGCAGTTTGGTCATTAAAACATAAGTCACAGCTAAGCAATTTTGGAATCACACTAATGTCTGCTAAATAGTGAGGCAATTTCTGCTGCAGTACTACTACCTACTATGCATGCACAACTCTGCATACATTCTTAACTTCTATCATGATACATTCGGGTTGGCAAGTGTCCCTGTTTAGTTTTAGTAGTTTTGTCATGATACTACATTCTTGATGTTACGAAAATAAGTCGTGCACATGTGGTGTTTTTAGCATGAACCTGTGGAATGCATATATGTGGGACAAGAACTTCAGCTGTACACTTTTTGCTTCCAAAAAGAAAACTTCTCTGAGCACTTTCAGTTGTAGGATAATGTAGTTCAGTTTGTAGCAGGCCTCTAGTTCCAACTCTGAACATACACAAGAAACGCCATTGACATATCAAAATGGTTCTTGCTGTTGTAATGCAGGGTGAGGATGAAATGAAGATGCAAGTAGCTGAAGGGTCGGTTTGCACTGATGCTTAACTGTATGTAAGGGATGGCACTCGGTAACCGAATGTTGCGGATGAAGAATATTGACTGCGGCATGACTAAATATTGTCCTCAGGGTTGATGGCTTAGTGACCTCTGAAGCTTCTGTTGCTGATTCTCTGTTTCTACTATGTACTGTATTGTTCTGCTCATCTGAGACCTGTATCTGCTATTTGAGGAGGAAACTTTGCGTGCCACGATTCTATCTTTCATCGAAAACTTACAAGTCATATGTAAAACTTTGAGTGTATCATCAGTGAATGGATTTTCGGTTCAGGTTTTAAGAACCTCACTGAGTGGGAGCAAATTGCTATCTAGTTTTGTACTGCTTGTGTTTCAAATTCAGGAGTGTGTAGAACTGTGTCATGGAACGATGTGGACGCATAAAAATTCTATATATGTGTGAAAATTCAGTAGGAGATCCCATGATAAAATATCTCGTAACAAAGTTTTTTTTTTTGAGCAGCTCGTACTACATGTGGATTTTTTTAAAGAATATATTGATACTTCTGAATATTGCCCTACGTAGCCAAAATCTGTGTATAGATATATACTTTTTTTTGAAACTTATAAACCCAGATACTATTTTAACATGAGAAAACATTATAATTCGGATTGAGAGCTCTTGGGCCTTAGTACTGGGTTGTTGGGCTGCAGTCCCGGAAATACATGTAGCCCAGTCGACTTTCGTTGCCCAAAAGGCCCAGAATAAACCGATCTTCTCACTCGCGTGAAGCTTCTTCATCTTCAGAGTCGCATTCCACTCCCCTTCCATGCCGCCCTCGCCGTCGCGGCCGCCGCCGGCGGCGGAGGTCTCCGACGCTGAGATGTCCGACGGAGAGGTACCGCCTCGCCAGGCTGCGGAGGACTTAGTCAGGGGAGCGGCGAACCGCGCCGCGCCGGGCTCGGCCGGCGAAGAGGACGAGGAGATTTACGACGACGACGACGAGAGCTCCGATTACAACTCCTACGACGACGGCGACGACGAATCCGATGAGAGCGGCTCGTACTACGAGGACCACGAGGAGGAGGAGGAGCAGGAGGGCGCCGGCGGGGACAGGGCCTCCGGGGGCGCGGAGGAGGAGGCTGCGTCGGCCGGCGTGGGCGGCGGCCCGAAGGCGGAGGGGAGTCCCCGGGCGGCGGCCACCTGCTGCATCTGCATGGATCCCTGGGCTTCCTACGGCGCTCACCGCATCTGGTACATTTCACCACATCTGGGCATCCTTCACTGAATAAATTCCTCGTTGTCTCTGAAGAAAAATCTGTGCTTGATGCAGCTGCATTCCATGTGGACATGTCTACGGCAGATCCTGCTTGGAGAGGTGGCTACGCCGCGGCGGCAACACCAGCGCCAAGGTACTACGGCACATGATCATCATTAATTTAGCATCAATCTTGCAGACTGCAGATGTGTTCATGGGAGGCTGCTTACTTAGCAATTTACCATGCTCGTGTTCATTTGGAATTCCTTGCTAAGCTACTTTTACCTGTTCACAGTGCCCTCAGTGCAGTGAAAGGTTCAAGCACAGGCACATCATCAATCTCTACTCGTCGGTGCATCTCTGGAACGATTGCTGCCTCAAAGAGGTTGCCATTTCTCTGCTTGGTCCTCTGTTATATCGCTTCTGTTCATTGAAGGTTCTGCCTCAAAGAGATACAACCAAGAGTTACATTGTCGAGTATTCCATCTCTAGTTCTTAGACTTTATGTCATGGGATGGATATGCGCGGCACTGCACTTTTTAGCTTATGTCCAAATTAGTACTATCTTGCATTTCCTCTGCCATTTCCCGGTCTCAATTGTTAGATTGTTACTGGTATTTTGAAATGAAGTACTGTAGTTGGTTGTGGACTGAAATTGGTGGCGAAAAACATACTACAAAATAATTTACACCGCATGCCTATTTTTTATGTTATATATGTCTGATTATGGATTGGCAACGGCCTTATCGAGACATCATCCATTCCCACTCTCAGATCCGAGCTCAAAGTACGAGTTCAAGTTCTTCTGTACACCCTCGTCCACATGCTATTTCAGTTAGGATCTCCCAACTCGAGGTTAGCTCTCCTCCATTCATCCTTGCCGATCCTTACATGCCTGCATTGCAATGATGATGAGATTGCGATTACATGTTGTAGGCCCGGATGGAGGAAGAAAGGAGGCTACGGGAGGAAGCCATGAGAAGGCAAGAGGAGAGGATAGCGGCACAGAATCAATTCTTCGAGGAGAGGATGGCGGCACAGAATCAACTCTTCGAGGAGAGGATGGAGGCACAGAGTCAATTCTTCAAGGAGCAAAGGGCGGCACAGCGTCAAGACATCGAGGAGAGCAGGGCGGCACATAATCAATTATTGGAGGAGAGGATGAGTCAAGCCATCAAGGAGAGCAGGGCGGCACAGAATCAATTCTTTGAGGAGAGGATGGCGGCACTGAGTCTAGCCTTCAAGGAGATGCTGGCGGCACAGAGTCAAGCCATCGAGGAGAGGATTAGTCAAGGCATCAAGGAGAGGTTGGAGGCAGAACGAGCTCTCTACCAGGAGCAATTCCAGGTTAATTCTTGCCCATAATAGTCAAGAGGGAGTGTTAGTTTCATTACAAACCTTCGTCTTTGCTACAGTATGTAACCTTGCCACCTTGAAAATAATATGCAGAGTCCTTATGCTCTCCACGGCAGAAGTCCGCCATCGATGCCAAGCCTTCCTCCTCCACGTGCTCCACACACTCATGTGATCGAGCTCTCTTCATACCTTTCAATCGCCATTACTGCCTGCCCTTCCTAGCATATATAGAGAGTTGTGCTTACTATCTCATGCTTACAGACGCATCTATCAGCTAGATCGAATGACCCGGGAGGTGGTACATCCGCACATGGTCAAGGAAGCTCAAGCACCCATCATGATGGTGGTACTCCAAGGTTTTCGACTCGACGAGTCGTTCTGGGGTACGAGTCGTGCTGTGCCGCTCTACTAGACGACGACCCCCATGAATTTTTTAGCAATGCTATCAATCACACATATACATTGCCAAACCTTGTCAACTTACGGTAACAACTCTGTGGACGCATCTGATTCAGCTATCATTCTGATCGTAGGGGACCGCTGAACTCCTATTCAGCTGTCATTCTGATCGTAGGGCACCGCTGAACTCCTGGACAAGGTTTGCCGGTATGCGAGAACCAGATGCAACAATACACGCTCTGCGTTGAAAAGCGGCTCAAGGATAAGGTTGAGCAGCCGAAGGAGTGTATGGAGCTGATACCAAGAAATCAGAGCATGTCGCACACCGATGTCATGAACTTCATGTTACAGAACTGGCCTGAGCCTTCTCTCCAGTTATCCAGCTTCCGACGGCGGACTGATCCACAAGTGGTATCTATCAGCCGGCTGGTCAATTGCTGAAACTTGTGCACACACATTTCCTCTTTCCACTGGAGTAGTTAGTATCTGTGATATGTGGATATACACCTTCCTCTGCTCTGCCCATTTCACGGGAAACCGGCATGAATGCGATAGTTGGCTGCACTACTCTCCTGGATTAATGCGAAAGCAATCTCTTGTGGCTCTGCTCTGCATAAATTTTTGGCCAGAGATTGTGCTTTGGTGTTAAGAGCATTTCCAGCCGTTCGGCCTCATAGGGGCTAGAAAAAAGCACCATCTGGGGATGAACCGGTGATAACTTCGGCATGGGGCCGATCGGGTTCTTAGCCGCCGCCCTCAGGTCGCCCGCAGACGCCCTTTTTTGAAAAGGAAATCGGCCAAACATGACATAAAATTCGTCCAAACTCGACGATTTCATTTATATTTGTACAAAAACTAAAAAACATAAATTAAAACTAACTAAAAACGACATTACTACGTCGTCGCCCGCCTTCTACATGCCGAGGAGCCTATAGAACCGGGTGTAGTCGCCGCTACCGTCCCTGTTGCACCCCTGACCAGCGTCGCCGATGCGCGGGGGTTTGGACGACCCGTGCGCCTCCTCGTCGTTGCTGTCGACGATGACGACGCTGCCCTCCTCGCGTCCGCGGCGCCGAGATTTGATCTTCTCGAAGGCCCGGTGTTGGCGCTCCATCTACTCGCAGACGTAGTCCACCTTTGCCCACTTGAGGGTGGTCTCTTTGTCGGCGGCCATGGCCTCATGCTTCTTCTTCACGGGGAGAAAACCCGGGTCGGCCTACGGTCTGACGAGTCGGTAGGAAGAAGGAGAGGGGCGGCCGCCCTCGTTGATGATGAGGGTGTCGCCGTGTGGGCGGCGCCCAAGCGGCGTCTCCGGCTTGACGGGGCGGAGCGCCGGCGAACCGGAGGAAAGAGAGCCAGAGCCCGACGATGAGAATGTCGCCGTCTCCATTCGCCGTGGCGTCCAGGAACTACTGCGGCGGCGAAAGAAGGACGGGGGCGCCGGGTACTCCAGTCACGGCGTGTTGCCGGCCTCGATGTGCTTGAGGACGACTTCGAGGGTGCGGCCGGGCACGCCCCACCATTCGTGCCGCCCGTCGGAGTTGAGGCGGCCGAGGGGCAGGACGCCGTTTGTGGAGGTGACCTGGTTGGCGTGGCGGTGGTCGAAGTACATCGTCCACAGCGTGTGGTTGTCGGCGGCGTACCTCGGCTCGTTCCGCTTCTTCTCCGACAACGACGACCGGATGCGCGGTTTCTCGGCGCGCCGTTCAGCACCGGTGGACGCGGGTGGCACCGGGACGCCGGCGGCGCTCAACCTCCACGAGCCCGGCACCCGCATGTCTGGGGGTGCCGGGTAGTCAGCGTCGTAGAGGAGGCGCGCCTCGTCCTCACTCAGATGGCGGCGGCCGAAGCCGTTCGCGTCCGCGCCGTCGCCTGGGAAGCGCTTGGCCATTGCCTGTCGACGGGGGCCTAGAGGGGAAGCAAGGGGCGTCGGAGAAGTTGGCGGCGAGAGGGGTGTCGGTGGCAAGGGCTTGTGCGTTCACCGACGAGGGAGATTGGCTTTTATAGCCGTGGATGGGTGGTAAGACGGCTGCCGCCATGTGCCGCGTGGCGGGAGAGGACTGGACATGCGTCATCGCGGCTTCACTGCGTCGCCCGTGAGACATCAATGAAAGGTTGACCGGCGTGGCAGCGCGACATCCTTGACATTGATTCCCACGGGAACCGAGGCAATGAGGACGACCGTGTCGCCCTCGATTCAATCGTACACTAATCATACACGCAAATGTGTACGATCAAGATCAATGACTCACGGGAAGATATCACAACACAAATGTAGACACAAATGAAAATAATACAAGCTTTATATTACAAGCCAGGGACCTCGAGGGCTCGAATACATAAGCTCGAATACACAAGAGTCAGCGGAAACAACAATATCTGAGTACAAACATAAGTTAAACAAGTCTGCCTTAAGAAGGCTAGCACAAAAGCAACAACGATCGAAAAGGCAAGGCCTCCTGCCTGGGAGCCTCCTAACTACTCCAAGTCGTCGGCGGACGACACGTAGTAGTAGGCATCCTCGGGGTAGCATTAGTCATCAGTGGTGTCGTCTGACTCCTGGGATCCGTCATCTGGTCGCAACAATCGGGTATGGGAGAAAAGAGGTAGTAAAGCAACCGTGAGTACTCATCCAAAGTACTCGCAAGACTTACATCAGATCTAAACTAAGTATGCATCTATATCAAAGGAAATGGACTATATCTGTGGACTAAACTGCAGAATGCCAGAAAGAAGGGGAAAGCCTAGCCTATCGAAGACTAGCATCTTCAAGCATCTTGCAGCATATAGAAGAATATAGATCAACATAATGTAAAGTAGTAGTGTTATCAACCTCGGCCAGAGATCCTTTCTCGACTCCCCGTGAGAAAGCAATCCCAGAGCCATACTATCCATTTCTCATCACAATCCATTTCTCATATCCATTTCTCATCTCAAGTATCCAGTTCTAGTTGTATCAATCGGGATACAACTCCAAGTGTCCGTTACTGTAGGACAGGCTATCAATAGATGTTTTCTTCCCTGCAGGGGTGCACCAACTTACCCACCACGCTCGATTAACTCTGTCCGGACACACTTTCCCGGGTCATGCCCGGCCTCGGCCAAACAATACGTCGCAACCCGACCTAGGCTTAATAGAGAGGTCAGCACGTCGGACTAAACCTATGCCCCCAGGGGTCATGGGCCATCTCCCCGGGAACTCCTGCACGTTGCGTACGCGGCCGGTGAGCAGACCTAGCTACCTCCTTCAAAAAGGCAGGTGCTTACCAGTCCAACCCAGCATGCGCCGCTCAGTCGCTGACATCTGTTAAGCTTCGACTGATGCATATGATGCAGAACGCCCGTACTATGCCCACGTGATGGTTACTGCTATCAGGCCAGAGGCCCCTCAGATCAAATATCCAAATCGTAGTGGATTAGGAGCATGCGGTAACAAGCAGAGACTCGCGAAAGATGTGACCCCGTTGCCCCGTCTCGAGTACTTGCGACAAGGGCTAAGAATGCCCGACCACGCCTCGTAAGTATCTCGTGGGCACCTTCCAGGTAAACCCGACTCCACATCACTCGCTATTAAGCTCGCGCGGGTACCCCTCAGGGCCGACCCGTCTTTAGTAACATGGTTCAGTGTAAAGTCATAGTAACCATAGTAACCGTGTGTCTAACACCAAGGGGCAAACCCGAGGAATCACCCCCGGTGAATTCCACTCGATGTTATCATCAAGGTGAACGTAAGAGGATCCACCCTCCAGGTTCACACTGGAGGGTTGCACGACAGGGCCGTAACAGAAGTGGTTAAGGAGGAAATCACCCTCGATGACCTCGGCGGTTTAGCTACATGATACGTCTCCAACATATCTATAATTTTTGATTGTTCCATGCTATTATATTATCAACTTTGGATGTTTATGGGCTTTATTATACACTTTTATATTATTTTTGGGACTAACCTATTAACCTAGAGCCCAGTGCCAGTTTCTGTTTTTTCCTTGTTTTAGAGTATCACAGAAAAGGAAAATCAAATGGAGTCCAATTGACCTGAAACTTCACAGAACTTATTTTTGGAAGGAAAGCAACCCGGGAGACTTGGAGTCCACGTAATGGAAGCAACCAGGAGGCCACGAGGCAGGGGCGCGCCCACCCCCTTGGGCGGGCCCTCCACCCTCGTGGGCCCCTCGTGGCTCCCATGGCGTACTTCTTCCGCCTATATATCTCCATATACCCTAAAAACATCCGGGAGCACAATAGATCGGGAGTTCCGCCGCCAGAAGCCTCCGTAGCCACCGAAAGCCAATCTAGACCCATTCCGGCACCCTGCCGGAGGGGGAATCCCTCTCCGGTGGCCATCTTCATCATCCCGGTGCTCTCCATGACGAGGAGGGAGTAGTTCTCCCTCGGGGCTGAGGGTATGTACCAGTAGCTATGTGTTTGATCTCTCTCTCTCTCTCTCTCTCTCTCTCTCTCTCTCTCTCTCGTGTTCTTCAGGTGATACGATCTTGATGTATCGCGATCTTTGCTATTATAGTTGGATCCTATGATGTTTCCCCCCCTCTACTCTCTTGTAATGGATTGAGTTTCCCCTTTGAAGTTATCTTATCGGATTGAGTCTTTAAAGATTTGAGAACACTTGATGTATGTCTTGCCGTGCATATCTGTGGTGACTATGGGATACCACATGATTCATTTGATGTATGTTTTGGTGATCAACTTGCGGGTTCCGCCCATGAACCTATGCATAGGGGTTGGCACACGTTTTCGTCATGATTCTCCGGTAGAAACTTTGGGGCACTCTTTGAGGTTCTATGTGTTGGTTGAATAGATGAATCTGAGATTGTGTGATGCATATCGTATAATCATACCCACAGATACTTGAGGTGACATTGGAGTATCTAGGTGACATTAGGGCTTTGGTTGATTTGTGTCTTAAGGTGTTATTCTAGTACGAACTCTAGGGCTGTTTGTGACACTTATAGGAATAGCCCAACAGATTGATTGGAAAGAATAACTTTGAGGTGGTTTCGTACCCTACCATAATCTCTTTGTTTGTTCTCCACTATTAGTGACTTTGGAGTGACTCTTTGTTTCATGTTGCGGGATATAGTTATGTGATCCAATTATGTTATTATTGTTGAGAGGACTTGCACTAGTGAAAGTATGAACCCTAGGCCTTGTTTCAAAGCATTGCAATACCGTTTTCGCTCACTTTTATCATTCGTTACCTTGCTGTTTTTATATTTTCAGATTACAAAAA